TTCTCCCAAACGCTCAAGGAGAACATGAGATCATACGTATAGTACTCGATTCTGACCTAGCAACCATGGTTAAAACTCGGGCTGGCTGCACCAGAGACCGCACAGCGAAGGACAAACAAAATTCTGAAGGGATTATTCCGTGTACAATACAATCTGCAAAGGAAAGTGCTGGGGTTCTACAGCTGAAGAGACTTCCGTCGATAGGGTGATTTCATTTTGGAGTACCAGATCGTCAGAAACCCGGGTAACGCTTGCCGCCACTTGACACTCAGACACATCACAGAATTTAAGTCAGGCTGTAAATGACCACCCAATAGAGTCGGCCGAGGTACCGCCGGAAATACTTCCCCTTCCAATTTTTAACCGTGGAACGCTCTTCCGAATTTCGTCATTTCTGCGCCCACGCTACCCGTTTTAAAAAAAACGACTTGATGGTGCTTTACACTGCCTGAATTACCTGATTTGATTTCTCTTCATTGAGTTACAACAAGACGCAGATAAACTGTGGTGGGTTAAAGGTAGATACTACTGCGCCAGGTATAAGTAGCATGGTGGTGCAACATGACACACCAACAGCGAGCCCTGCCGACTTCCCCAAAGTTGAAGATGACATCAGGATTACAGTTCCACGCGCACGAGGAGTGAACACAGAGGCAAGCACTAGTTGGGGAACACTCCATGGAGATCACGCAGATGAGCGGATGTCACCAAGGTATGAACGAACACACCTAGTGTAAGCCATTTGATTGATAAACAAGTTGCCGCCTGTCCCTTGGATTCTCACATTTGGTGCCGTGACCTCGCAAGTCATGAAGATTCCCTGGCCGGGACCATTTGAAGACGGGGATGTGAATGCGTTTTTGGAAGATTTCGAGGAGGTGGCAGAGGCGGTTGGACTGGGGACGGACCGGGCGAAGATGGCGACCCTGCGGAGTCTCCTCAAAGGCAGGGCGAAGGCGGTTCTGGAGGCCGCGCGAAGAGGTCCGGTCAAGTTGAAGTGGACCATCGCGAAGGAAGCGTTGCTCTCTGGACTGGAAAAGCCAGCGGACCGCCACGAGGCGATACGACGGTTCAAGGCGTTGCGGCTTGGTGCTGGGACGGATTCCCTCGTGTTTGCGGTGCACCTCAGGAGCTCGTTGGACCGCGCCTTGCCGGGGTTGGATGAGCCTTCAAAGACGCAGTTGCTGGTGGATCAGTTTTTGGCCGGCCTCCCATAGCCAACCGCGGAGCGCGTTCGGATTGCGAATGCTACTCGCAAGATGCAATTGGAGGAGTTGGTGCGAGTTACTCGAGACCTGGGCGACGAACCACTAGCTGCGCTGAAGGAGGAGCCTCATGAGAATGTGGAACGGATGATGGAACAGCTTACGGAAGACATCAATAGGCTTCGCGTTCAGGGTTATCGGGTGCGCACAAAAGGATGTTGCTTCATCTGCGGGAAACCGGGGCACTGAAAGAGACAATGTCCGCAGCGGCGTGGTGTTACTCGTGTGACGAATAAACGTGTGCAACCTTATTTTTCGTTTCGGATCGAGGATTGTGTACTTGGGGCGTTGAGCAGGAGTGCGGTTGAAGCAATGGTGGAAGTAGGCGGAACGATGGAAAGGTGTCTGATCGATACGGGTGCCGCGGTGTCACTAATCAACCATCGGCGAGATGAAAAGCTTCAGTCGTGCTGCACGATCGTAAGAGCGGTTGGCGGTCATTCAGTGGGAATTGATGGTATAGCCGAACACACCGTAGGAATCGGGGGGCGAAAGCGAACACACTCCTTTCTCGTTTCACCAGATGCGAAACAAACCATATTAGGAGCAGATTTCCTGGAGCTCAATAAAGCTGTCATTGATCTAAAGCGTGGGAAATTGATAATGGAATGCGGGTCACTACCACTCATTAACTTGGAGAAATGAGATCTTCGCAGTCGGTCGTTGCTGTGTTACATTTGAGCCCATCTTTGCAGTCGCTGCTCAACAAATACCAACCCTTGTTTACGAATGACAGCAGCCAATATGGGTTTTGCGATTGGATCGAGCACACCATCCCGCTAACTCGCCAACCGTATCGGCCCCATGGACTTCGAAGGATACCAATCCATCTGGAGGCTGAGGTGAACAGGCAAGTGCAGGAAATGCTGGACGCGGGCGTGATTGAGGAGGCACACAACCTGTACAACTCTCCTGTGGTTTTGGTGAAGAAGACAAATGAGAAGTACCGATTCTGTGTCGACTTCCGAAGACTGAATGAAGTTTCCTTGACTCGCTTCGTTCCAGTTCCATCAGTTACTGACATTTTTGATCGGCTGCAGCAGTCGAGGATATTCACGGTCCTGGACTTGTGATCAAGATACTGTCAACTGGCAATAAAACAGGAAGATCTAAAAAAAGACGGCGTTTACCGTTGGTGAGAAACAGTACCAGTTTAAGAGGATGCCCCTTGGATTATCAGGAGCCCCGTTTACCTTCCGACGTCTAATGCTGCGATTGCTGAGTGAATTGGAAAACGTGGTTGTGTACGGGGATGATATCGTGGTGTATAGCCAATCAGAAGCGGAACATATCCATCATCACGCGGCAGTTCTGGAACGCATTCAGCAGTCGGGAAATCGTATAAATGGACCAAAATCCCAGATCGGAAAGACCTGTGTCACCTTACTGGGCCATAATGTGGGACAGGGCGAATTAAAACCGCTACCTGAGAAGATAATGACGATACAAGGCAGCCCAGTTCCCACCTCGAAACGCACTCTCCGTACGTTCCTGGGCCGCGCTGGGTACTACAGCAAATTCGTCAAGGATTTTAACACCTTGGCCTCACCCTTGTACGGGCTGTTGAAACAAGACAGGAAATTCACTTGGAATGCAGAAGCTCAACGAGCCTTTGACCAGATTCTACAGGAAATGGGAGGGCAGGAGTTGACCCTGAAATTGCCTATTGCTGGTGAAGTGTTCACGTTAGCCACTGACGCCAGCAATGTCGGGATCGGTGCGGTGTTGAAACAAAACCGTGGGACGATTGAGTATGCCTGCCGAACTTTGACACCTGCGGAACGCAGATACTCAACCATAGAGAAAGAATGTCTCGCAAATGTCTGGGCGTTAGGTAAATGTTGGCCATATCTCCTTAGTCAGCGATTTCATGTCGAAACAGACCACAGACCGTTGGAGTGGATTAAGTCTGCCAAAGACCCCAGAGGAAAGCTGGCGAGATGAGCATTGCGCCTACAAGAGTATGATTTCACGATAAAACACGTGCCGGGGAAGGAAAATAAAACGGCGGATTTCTTGTCACGCATGATAGATGATGATGACCTGCCGAGCGTATCTTTCGGTATTAACGGTATACTGTGCGAGCAGGATCCAGAACGATTGGCAACTGAGCAAGGTAGTGACAAACTCCTGCGCAAGTTGATCAACCGCGCCATTAGCTGGTCAGACAAACTTCAACAAAAACCAACTTAAGCAGCCGGGACCTTTTGCAAAAGACCTTGGAAAGCTGCAAGTGAACGAAGCAGGGATCTTAATGTGGATACCAGGAGGTAGCAACTCTTCGGTGCCAGTCATTCCAATGAAACTAAGACAGAATCTGGTAGTTTCTTGTCACGAGATGGCGCACACAGGTAGTTCCAGGACCTACGATCTGCTGAAACAACGCGCGTATTGGCCGGGGATGAAAAGGGACGTTGAGAAGTGCGTGCTTTCGTGCAGACAATGTCAGCTCATGAAAACGGATTGCCGAGGAATGCAGCAGCAAATGATGACGATTCCGGTCTCCGAAATTGGTGAACTTTGGTCGGTCGACGTGATGGGGCCGTTTCCATTGACCAGGCGTGGCCACCAATATATTTTATTGATGACGGAGCACTTCACGCAATGGATTGAGGCGACAGGAATCGTGGATCAACGGGCTAGCACCGTTACCCATGCTGTCATGAATCACTTGGTAGCGGCTCACGGAATCCCAAAGGCCATATTAACAGACCAAGGGCCGTGCTTCGAGAGTGAAGAATTCTGGAACTGTTTGGAGAAACTTGGCATTGAGAAATTGCGCACCGCCCCATACCACCCGTAAACAAATGGCCTGACGGAACGTAACAATAGAACAATCAAGGAGTGGATATCAGCAAAAGATGGAGACTGGGAGGAAACGTTGCCGCTACTGTTGCTGGCCCATCGAGCAACCAAACAGGCTTCCACAAAGAAATCACCATTCCATTTGATGTACGGTCGACAACCTCGGCTACCTGTGGACCTAGAGATTGGAATGTGGCCAACTTGCTGTATATCTCCCGAAGAGACACGGAATAACCGGAAGACCGCCAACAGCAACCTACAGGTGACTCAGGCGCGGAGGATGGCGAAGTTCCAGACCAGCAAAGGTGGAAAGAATATCGAGTTTCAGATTGGTTCGAAAGTGAAGCACAAGGACCAACAACGCTATCCCACTTGCGGCTAAGGGGAGAGAAAACTCCTAGCGAAGTGAAAGGACCGTACGAGGTAGTCGACCGGCGAGGCTCAGTGTATACGATCGCTCGGCAAGGTGAATCGCGGAGGGTGAATGCCGGCGAGCTGAGGAAGTGGTACGAATTGGAGGCGGAAACACGCTCATACAGTGAACATCCTCGGCGGTCAGAAAGACTCCGACGGAAGGCAGCTGACGCGAGTCCTTTGGAGGGGGAGGAGTGTGGTAGATTAAAGGTAGATACTACTGCGCCGGGTATAAGTAGCATGGTGGTGCAACATGACACACCAACAGCGAGCCCTGCCGACTTCCCCAAAGTTGAAGATGACATCAGGATTACAGTTCCATGCGCACGAGGAGTGAACACAGAGGCAAGCACCAGTTGGGGAACACTCCATGGAGATCACGCAGATGAGCGGATGTCACCAAGGTATGGACGAACACACCTAGTGTAAACCACTTTAGCAATAGATAATTACCGCCTGCCCTTTGGGTTACAACAAAACGTACTCACCAACCCCTACGAAATCTGGTAGCCATACTTTTTCGCTAACTTGCATAATATGGCGAGTTCACAGAAGCACGGTCACGGCCGCAAATATCTGAAAGAGCGTTAGAAATGGTATGAACACCAATGTGTCTACAGGAAGGCTGTCTCCAGTATCGTTGGGGAAGGAAAGTACGCCCGTATCCAACACTTTTAACACTAAGAAGACACAACTTGCTGAAAATATTAGGCTTTTACGTATGTGGGTCTAAGCAAGCCATATCAATTCATAAATAATCCCCCTTTGAGTCAGAAGTAAGCAAGTGCGCGAAGAATATGCTTTTCGATACTTCTCATCAGGCGAGTACAATTATGAAGCAAAACGTTTGGAGAGAATAAAGCCCGTAGAGGTCTGTACAGAGAGCAATCAACTCATTAACTGGGCAATATGAAATTAAATCAATGATTTGATCAATCGGATTGTCGCATTAGGAATCAGGTGATCAGGGAAGGTCAACTTCAATGCCAAGGCAATTTCAGAGCCTGTAGCAGTGTGCGCTGTTTGCACAGCTCTGGTTTTGGAACTTTGATAGCAATGGCTTCAGAAATGCTCAATAAATGTTTCTTCAGCTGTTTTGGGTATCGTTTAGGGATAGTATAAACGACTCGAAACGACTGGTTTATCTGGACTTGGTGTCCAGCGTCGACCAAGTGTTGTAATACGGAATTGTTGATGGATTTTACCGTGCCTTTTCATAATGACGCAGGACAAAGCTCAGCGATTCTTTTGGACAAATACCTGGTCGTATGTCCAAGATACCATGCACCACAAATGCAGGTGAACTGGTATAAGACAAAGGATTCGGACCGAACCGGGAGTTTATCCTTTAAGCGCTGAAGAGTCAATGGTCTTGTTTCGGCAAGTAGTTTTAGCTTGGCGGCTGGAAATGTCTTGGTCACTGCGGTCGAGATATTTCTCTAAAACAGTTCGAACGCGACGACACCTTTAAAGGGAACTGTAAGGATTACATCCTTTTTGGGAACTGTAGCGACACATTTGACAGCCTCAAGCTGTTTGGAATGCTTTTTGATGAAAGCTACGGGGTATCCATTTTCCTGCAACGTGTTATAGATGAGATTGATTTCGCTTTCAAGCGTCTCTGGACTGCAGATTGCTGTGGCACGATGGTATAAGCAACGGACTAAATTCCTCTTGTTTCTCAGCGGTACAAAGCTAAGAAAGTGGGTTTATTGACCTACCCACGTCGCTTTGCGAAAAACACTCCTTTTGATAGTCCCGTTTTCAAGCCTATGCAATAGAACGTCTAAGAACGCCAAGCGGCCATCTTGCTCAACTTCACTGGTGAAGTTTAATTTTATATCCGAATGTAAGCTATCGGACGACCTAAAACAAAGGGACTCCACATAATAAGCAGTGATATTCCAAGTTAAACTGGCTGGTTTGGTTCGCATCGTGACTCACAACATCTCAGTTCACGGTGGCGAGCCAAGGCTACATAAGGTGCAATTTCAGTCGGATGCCGAATCGGTGGTTGCCCATTTGTCAGCTTGCCGTCTTTGTCATTTGCCATGCGGCGTTCTTATATTTCCTCATATTTCTAGGAGTGATCGCCGGCAAAAGAAGAGAAGAATTAGAAGAATATCGCTAGCAAAACGACGAAAGATCAAGCTTTGTCCAATGTGAATCCAAAAATCAGTCTTCTGATGAGCCGCAAGCCCAAGCTTCTGACTTGAAACAGTGGCGTTAAGTCAGTGAATTACTTGTCCTCAGTGACTTTATTGTCAACCCAACGTCAAGGATACACGTTCAACCTACTACAAAGCATGGGGTCCATGAGTGCTGAAAGCCTTGCTCAACTCCAAAAATGGTAGGCAGATTACTCAAAATTTAGCTCAAGCTACTCGCCAGAGATACGCCTGAAGGAGGTTGAAGCTGTGCCACCATTATATATATATATATATATATATATATATATATATATATATTCACAGTCTGTTAACAGACGTTGTGCCATCAGAACCACAGCAGAAGAAAAAGGTGAAGAAGATGGGAACACTAACGCGAGTAAAAAAATGTGGGAAACGATTTTTTTGTGGTTTTACACACGCCATTTTGTAATTTTTGTTTTGTGAGTTTTTATGTGTATCAAAGGGATGGTGAAATGGCGGAACAACATTGCCGCCACTGATGTCTGTTGCGGGCCATGACGTCCAGTGTTTTCAACCACTTCAATTCAGCATCTCGTGGTCCCCAACCTGGAAGGCGAACTGGTCCGACTGCTGCCAAACTTGAGGTCGCCTTCTTCATACTCCTTCTTCACGTCATCGGCTGTCCACCGCGGCACTTTTTCCAATCGCTCCCTGGAAGTGCAAATAGCGCTCGACGTGGAAGGCGATGGGCTGGCATGCGCAGAACATGCCCGAGCCAGCGCATGCGATGTCGGAGAATAACGTCTTGAAGACTGGCACTATTCGCCCCAAGCACGCGGTCTCTCACCTCTGCGTTGCTTACGTGGTGTTGCCACCACACCCTAGCAATCCTTCGTAGACAGCGATTATCAAAGACTGATAGCCACCATTAGCTAAAAGGACACAAAAGTGTGACACATTGTTATGAGCCCAGGTCTTTACATTTCCACCACAGTTCAGTTTTAGAGGGTTGTGTAGCAAGTGCCCTATGCACCAGCCCTGACCGGGTACCGTTGGCATGATAGAAATTCATCGAAAAACGAGTCATCGAAAACTTGCAGTAAATGTCTCTGTTTTCATATGCTCTTCTAGCTTGCGTAACTCGAAAAGCTTTGTATACGAATCCACAACGCGTTCTCAGCAAACTGGCCGAGCTTCCATCGCGACAAACTTCAACTCCTTTGGACTTTATCCTGATGACCGACACAGCTGAACGAGCTGATTGTTGGGTCGAGATCTCACTAACAGGTAAATCTTGCGCAAAGACCAGCCCAATAAGGGAGGCGGTGCAATTCCTTTTTGCCGCTGCTACCTACATGTGGACAGTACTAACAAGCCGGGGTTCAAGCCCATTCGATTCGGTAGATAGAAGTGCACTTTAGGATTGGCTAGTCAGGAAATGTGTGCCCGGGAAATAGGTAACTATTATCCGAGCATTATACGCACGAAGCTCAGGCAGCGTGAGGGTTAACGGTCAGCTGTCGTCGCCATTCAATATCTCCAGCGGTGTGTGACAAGAATGTTCGCTGTCACCTTTCCTCTTCAACTTCGCTATTTACGAAGTCATGGAAATCGCGTTCACAGGACACGACTTAGAAGGTATGGATCTGCTAGCAGAACTTCTTGACTTGGAGGTATACTGTCGATATTGACCTTATCTGTGACAGCATTGGAGAGGTTAGCACCGGCTGTCTGTCACTTCGGACTTTGCTTCGCACCCTCGAAGTGCAAATCGTTCCTACAAGAATGGCCTGGACCGCCTCTTGAGCTGACCGTCGGTGCGGATCATCTAGAAGTCGTACAAAAATTCCGCTAACTGGGAAGCTGTATCCGTGCCCGTGGAATAGAAGATGAGCCCACGAACCGAATGGTAAAGTTTCGAGGCGCTTTTGCTAACCTTCACCACCTATGGCACCGCCGCGATATCACTCTCACACGGAAGGGTAGAGTGTACAAAGCAGCAATACTTTTAACCCTACGGTACCGTTGTGAAACTTGGCTCCTTAGATCAGTGGACATAAAGAGGCTAATTAGGTTCGATCACTAGTGCCTTCGCAGTTTAGCTCACAGCTGGTGGGAACACCGAGTAAGCAGCGAACGTGTTCGAGGTCGTGTTAACGGTACAGGAAAAGAAACTGAACCACGCAGCACGGTTATTTCACTCATCAGATTCGGATGGCTCAGCGATGTGTTACGCATGCTAGCCCACCGACTCCCGCGACGTGTGTTGTTTGCGCGCCGAGAGTGTGGATGAAAGGAGAGGTGTCAAAGAGATGACTTGGTCGAGAGGAATGAAGGCCCTCACTTCGGAGCTGAGCTTGTTTGAAGCGTCTCGGTTTCCTGGTTGGGGTCCGAAAGACGATGAAGACCTTTGGCTGGATACACTTGTAGACATGGTTAGGAGTCGAACTCAATGGTGTTCGTGTTGTAAGTCTCGTTGCCCCACCCCATCACTATTAGTCCCCCTCCAACTAAGATCCCACTACGAAGCCGTATATAATTTTGCATGGTAAATTTTTTTGCTGCATAGTAATCGGCTGGTAGCTTACTGGAACGATGTCCATCCGTTACCGGCACCTCAGCTGGCTTGCACCTGTTGCATTTCCCCCCTTTTCTGTTATGTATTGCGGCCCAGTAACTGAGGTGCTCCCCACCTCTAGCTAACATGTATTATGATGATAATGGAGTTCAAGCCGTTAACTCCTTATGGTGTCACTTACAACTAAGGCAAGCGATACGTGTTTAGTAGCGTTTGTGCACTGCCCATCACTGTTCACTTTAGAAATGAGCCAGAGTCTTGTTTTCACTAAGAACAACCTAACGAACGGCCTTGCAGTAACTTTCTTCCGGTGGATAACATCAACCTGCACGCTCTAGAAACTCAAGCTACTCTAGGTGAATAAATCAAGTCAGAATTGCAAGCGCAAATCGTTGATTGACGGCTGTACAAACATGTCACTTGTTCAACGCGTTTGAGGACAGGAAAGGTCGGCGAACTTGAAATCGTCTTACCAATGCGAAACTAATGATCGACGTAGTAATATCGCTCGCTCCTTTGGGTTGTAGTTTTCATGCGACTCTACTGTTCCGATACACGTACTTCGCAGGGCTTTAAACTAGCACCGAAGCATGGCACGCCGTGTGTGATTAGAACAATCTACTCGATGACATTAGTTCAGCAACCTGGTCTTTCCTAACCGAACGATCCCCTGTGATGGCCTTGGGAGAGGTTGTCAACAGATTCAACTGGCTAGTGGTCAGCGCATCAGATAGCAAATTCTGACACTCGTAACGGATGAATCCGTTCCTCAGGAGCAAGACTTGAGGGACTTAGCCTGACGCGCCCACAAAGCCTCACCCAGCTTGTAAACGCAACCATTGCATCAACCTCGTACGGGAAGTTAGAGCAAAGTCAAGCAAGAAATTGTGACGCGATTTTGCTCCAATTCCAAAGCTACTTTACAGACACATGAACAAACTTAGTAGAGGATTGTATGATTCCTGTTTTGAACATACCAAGTAGTCTAGCGCAAACGCCAAATAGTTGGCCACCGTACTTGGACAACGCTTTAGTCGCGCCTTTAAATGTGTACAATCAGCTTGCATCTTGACTACGCAAGCCTTAGCGCCATTAAGGTTTCACCACATACTGTATTGACATACTAAACCGGTTGATATTCTTGGGCAATT